GAGTAAAGATTCTTTCCAGGAATAGCAGCATCACTTTCTGAGAGACAGAGTTAAAGAATGTTGTCAAATGAAGCAAATAAAACCCCTAAAAAAAATCACAATTTTTGCTTTGGGATCTCCTTTGTATCTGAGTTGGCACAGAAGGTCCACTCATCATGACCGATGACGAAGGCCTGATGAGCGTGGAACATCTCTGTCACCTGTAAAACAACACATATTCAATACATGTTTTCTTGTGGACTATACTGAATTGGCTTTTCAAGACACATTCTACTAGAATAAATATATCAGTATCTACTAGAATGTGCTTAGAGTACCTGTCCTCCTCTGGATGTTGTGAAGGCAGAGGCTCGGTGAACATGCAAGATGCCACTGAAAAAGAATAAAACAGAAACTCAGCTCTTTACTAATGTCTTATCTTAACAAGGGTGACCCTTGCTGCAGATGCGTACCAGATGGGGCTCTGTGAGAGAATGTTATGGTCATCAGACGGCTAATCTGAAGAATAATTCCTAACATTTCACACCATATGAAATAACAGTGATAGAAATGACTGCAATAGGAAAAGCATTTCTAACTAAGTTGAGAAAAAGTCATCGGTGAGAATCCACCAGGACCGAATGACTGTCCTCAGCGTCAGCAGCATGTAATGCCGCCTGACGCAAATCCTCTGGAGAATAAACATACATGCAACTTAAAGCTGCAGTTATGATTAAATATATCAAATATGTGTTTGTGAACATAAGCAGAAGTGCATACTTGGTTGTCTCGATTGTGTCACTGTGTATAGAAGAACCACAGAGTCCAGAACGAAAGCTGCAGTCCTCCATGGAACTGTAAGACCAGCCGCTCCAGAAAGAGTCTGGGACACTAAAGTGGTACAACAATACAACGAATGCTATTACAAACTGACACTTAAGTGAAACTGTCAAATTTTTAACATTACTAATAAGCTTAAAAATTATTCTGAATTAAAAAAAAACTATAATAAAACAGGAAGAGCTTTTCAAAGAAGGTAAAAATCACAATATATTCCATTTTATAATCTTTAGACAGCCTGAATGTACTGAAGTCCACCAAATCAATCAACAGCACATTTCCACTTACACTGTACAGAATCACAGGCCCGACTGTTGAGGAGTGACCATCAGTTGACCATTCTCCTCTGTGATGAGCTGCAGTAAAGGGAGAATAAGCCAGATTTTAGAAGCTGAGACATTATATTGAACAGTGAAGTTAGTTTCTGCAGTGTTAGTCTATCTGATGTGAGTGGAGCTGGATAATGACCTCAGGCTAGTCTCTGCAGAGCTGTCTAATGAAACCAACGTACAGCTCACATAAAACGCTCGGTTCCACCAGACGAGAAGCAGCTCGGAGTCTCTGAACCGGCTCTAAAAAACACGTTACAGACATTTCTGAACCTGAAGCTTCCGATACCTTCTATCTTCTGAAAGTCCAAATCCCCTGTCCCCATGTCCCTCGTCACTTCTCTACAGCGGGTGTAAACTTTAGCTAGCTGAGTTAGCTGCAAATACGAGCATGTAGGTTAATTTACTCATATTTACTCACTTACAAACACTGTACGTATGTATATCTGTGTATGTTCATTTTTAAATGTTCAAAAAGAGGTAACTGACCACGGTCAGCCGCGGTCTGGACCAAGCAGTCGACCGTCGCTCCAAACGTCGCAACTAGGCTCCCCAAACGTCAATGAGAGCACATAATAAGCTCCGAAGGTGCTGCCGGGACCCCAGCCACAAACAGCAGGGGTCGCCACCGGATCTTCGTGCTGGATACAACGCTGTTCATCGTCGAGTGAAAACTTCTCTGACCGGAGAGACAGAAAGCACAGGTGATCGCTTTGGGTGTCGGTGACCGACTGAGGCTCAACGTTCTTTACTCACCGTTTAGATTGGCTTGAGTTCCATTTCGGTGGCGCCACAATCAGCATAATAGAACAAATCAGTGATGCAGCGCTAATCATAATAGAACAAATCACTGACGCAGTAATATTATATAGTGAGAGTGAACTCCATCTTCCACAGTTTCTCAGTGTGTGATTTTGAGCGCTCATTAGAAGTTGCAGTTATCATAAGTTATAATAAAGCATGACGTTATTAATTACTTCTTACTTAAAATGGAAATTGTTTTGAAAGTACAGACTGTAAACGTAAATTCATTAAATGTGTATTTGCAATTAAAAGAGGAGTGATTTTGTTATGACTGGAATTTGATGAGAATTGTTTTATGAATAGAGTTTTATTTTTCCATTTGGAGGGGGAAACCGTGTCACAAAGATTGCAGGGCTTAAAAAGATGCATAAAATAGGCACAGCTCCAAAATCATTAAGTACATTTACACAGTTGACCTAAGATTAAATAATACTGTTCCCTTACGATTTCTCGCATAGGTAAAAAACAGCTAGTCACAAAACCAATTTTCAACATTTGAGAAACCATTTTTGATATAAAACAATATTTTAAGAGGCTTAACTTCAGAATTTGTATAAAACAGATTCATTTTTACTTTTTATATCATTAACGTTATACTACATTTAAAAAAATATATGTATTTTATGTAAACAATACATTTTGTTCTCTGGTGTTATCAGGACTCTTATATTACATTTTAACACAGCATTTTCAGCTCTATTAAACTGCTTCTTTGGGTCGAGGCTCATCAGAGAGGAAGCATCTCAAGGCATGAGGCCAGTCCATACTTACTTATTATATTTCATGAATTCATGAATAATTTTGTTTATCAGGCAGCAAATAACTTCTATGTCACTGGTGTTATGTGCTTTAATGGCTGGATAATTAAAATTTTCTCAAATAAATGCCATCTATCATTTTATTACTGATTTTAAATAGTTGCACAAGGTCACCTGACCGTCAATGAGTCAGCCAGTTTACAAAATCCTCAGTGTCACTAGTGTCACAGTCACTGGTGACGCTGGTGTCACCATATTCATATAACACCAGTGACATGTTGTGACACCAGTGACTAATGTTAATGTCATGTAGTAAATACAGAAATTGGATCTTTATCAATATTTAAGTCTGTTAGTGCATGTTTCGTCACTTTGCTACTCTGGTTAGGTCGGCCAAACAGAGTGCAGGAGAGAGGCAGAGGCTGTAGAGGCAGTGTAGAGATTCAGGTAAAGCTGTTTGTGTGGCATAAAAAAAACAAGAGATGTATCCTCATCAGCCCTGAGACTGGACAATTTAAAACAAATAATGTTTTGTTTTGAGACGTGTCCACTGCTGCCTACTAAATAACTTACATTATTTTTTTTCTGATTACTGGGAAATATATTCAGTGCCCAGTATACTGGACATTTGAGCCTAGGCACATGAAATGTAAGAGAATTTGAAAGATTAGCATGTTTATAATGACCAACATAAGACACAAAGAAAGCACTGAGTTTTTTCTGTGTTTACTATGTGTAGAGTTGCATGAAAAGGTTTCTGGACTCTTGGAACCACCTGGGCTTCTCCTAATATTAAACAATTGTCACTGCTGTTACAGGTTTGTTATGATAAAGCGTTCTTTTGATTAAAAATTGACTGTATTAAGACTACCTTACTTAAAATGTTAGAAAAATTCATTGTTGAACTGATTTTTTTATCTCAGTAGTTCAATTTCCATGCTTATTGTACAAGTATTTAATATTTTTACAAAATAATAATCTGTATCTTTGTATTTTTAGTGCATGCATATAAAAGAGTTTTTATAATATGATTATTCAAATTGAATTTCTTCAATAAATACAATCCCATTAAATATAAATTAAAAAGAAATGAATTTATGACAAAAAAGAATGTCTCCTAAATGATTAACACCAGTGAAAAAGTTAACTTAAACTTTGCATTTTACAATAAAATAAATCAAAATATGTTTGGAATTAAGCTCTCCTTTTTGCATATATGATTAAAGAAATTGAATTTAAAAAATGTATCCACCTGAATTTCCACTCCAAATGGAGAATGATCCAGACTGTCAATTGTCAATGCAAAATGTATGGTGAGTATAAATGTAATCAGTTGCTTATTTTACTTTGCAATCAATTGTGTAATTACTGAGGTACACTGGAATAGTGCAGCAAAACAAAAAGCCTGAGAACCTTTGACCCGAGTGCCCACAATAGTGTTATCCACTATGCCATCAATCTGCTACAACTAAAGCCCTTATTCAGATGGGATTAGTTTTACATGAGAAGGTGGGTAATGTCATTTTACTAGTTCAGTGGCATTTCTCTGTAATTTTAGTCCCATCTGATTGCACCCAGTCAGCCAACTTTACCGACTGTGCGCTCCCACGTCAGTAAAGATTTATTCACTCAAGATTAACTCAGGTTATATTAATCCAGTGTAAATTAACATGTCGGTGAAAATGTTAACATATTCCGTAGAAAAGAAGTTTGGAGGCTCGAAAAAGCCTTTACTTGTGTCCTCTGTGGCTGAAGTCAAGCTGATATGCAACCTTACTGTCCTATCTCATGTTTGTAACTCAGAACATGTAACAATTATAGGAAACAATTTGATTTGATGTGGTGATGTTGACTGTTGTGATTTCCCAAGCTAATGGCGGTGCTAATGACACACTGCCTTCTCTTCAGACTGAAAGGTAAATGGTTGTGTAAACGAAATAACAGGTAAATGAAATGTTTTAACATGTTTCTGCTCTTTTCTAAAGTGAAGGTGCTGCGTAAATTGAGTAGCCACTCCCATCTCTGTCATTTATACTGAGGTTTCTTATCCCGTGAAAGTCAGTCATTAACATCACAGAGTCCCGTGGAAAACTGAAATTACCCCACCTCCCCATGGAAAAAATAATCCCATC